TTTTAATGAAACACACCACCATTCCATCAGTTGGGTCAAGCCAAATCATATAGGTTTGATTTCTCTATTTCCTTTGTTTTCCATACCCAAGACAAATCTTGCCATCTCTGCTTCCAAATTATACCCTGAAGTTGTCTCCTCCTGTCTTCATTGATATGACCCTTACCCAGGCTCCATCATCTCTTCCCATAGACTACTGAACTAGCCCAAAGGCTGGTTTCTAGCTCCCAATCTTTCCCCTCTACAGTCAACAGTAATACAGAAATATTATTTATTTTTTGAAGTTGTCCATCTCCTGCTTCCTCCACTAGAGTGTGAGCTTAGTGAGGACAGTGACTTTGCCTGTCTTGTCCAGACAAGCGTCCTGTGTCTCCAACACCAGGAGTAGTGCTTGATGTATAATAGTCACTTAATACTATTTTTGAATAAATGGATAGCTGGTCAGGAGACCTGGGCCAATAGGATCACTTAATCCATGTGACTTGTTTTGTTGGCCTTGAGTAATTATGGTTTTTTGTTTGTTTTTTTATCAGTGGTTTACTAACTTAAAAAAGGACGTGATGCTCTTATAGAGAAACCCTTGTTAAAAGTCTGGGTAGATGTGATTTAAAAAGAAAAAACTATTGTTGAAAACATGGATTTATATTGTCATTGATTCACCCAAAAGGTGTTTTAATTTTTAATTTTTTGTCCAAATCTTCAAGGGATTATGGCGATGAGCCTTAAACTTTAATGTTTATAGTAATCATCTGGAGGAGCTAGCTGATAAATCTGGTATTTTGGTTCTAAATCCTGATTTGTTAAAAAAGCCCCAAGTGACCTTGATATAGCTGCTCCTTGAACTGCTTCCAGAAATAAATACTGGGCTTCAAGTTTTATAATTTCCTTCATAACTTTGAGAAAAATAGACACATACCTTTCTGACTTACCTTTAACAGAAAACCAGGTTCTGTCACTTAGGTGCCGGATGCTGGGTTCCCAGAGACCACAGCTGAGTCATGTGAGAGGAACCATGAGGTTCCTTGAGGATGAGTCAACCATGAGGAAGCCTTGGGGATGAGTAAATTGAAAGCGAAAACTTCTTGGCATTCTATTGTCAAGATCAAGTGGAAAGCACAGGCAAGAAAGCAGAGATCTAGCCAAAGAAGCCGGAAGACCAGGAAGGCAATTAGAGGGGTGTAATAGAAGCTTAGGAGAGGAGCAGAGATTTTACTAAATGGAACTGGAGTTCTTCAGAAACTGCTGGGGCAACCTCACTTAGGCGAACATGTCAAGCACAGGGGCAGATCAAACCTGCCCAGGTGGTATCAATGGGACCTTTAGATTTTTGCACCTCCCAGATAGTGTGTAAGACACGTGCTGCAACAGTGTATAGTAGGGACTCCTGTTATGGTCCAAGCCATCTCCCCACCTTTAATTCCCAGGTCACACAGAGTGAGAACCGGACTAAGAGTTTTAGCCAGTAAAACAAGGTCATGGATATTTGCGGCATGCACACATATTGTGATGTGACAGGCAAACTGGGAGGTAGATGGGTTTAGAGGAAGGGGTTTTTTTTTTTCAGCTTGACATATATTTTGTGGTTTCAATTCTCGAACGTATGCTCTCTTACTGTTATTAATAGCACTTATCATCCTTTTCCAATTCCATAAATTTAGATGGAACAATTTAATTGCTTCTTATTTTGCTTTCATATTATGGTAAAAAAAAATTCCCAAAGATCTGTTTTTGGCCCTTTGAAGTATAATATTAATTTTAGTCAAACAGTTATTGCTGACATTCACTGGAAGTTTACAGCTTAGGAAACTGAGGCTCAGGGAACTTGAGTCATTTTCCCAAGGTCACATAAGCATTAAGTATCAGAACTGGGTTTCAAAGTTAGGTCTGTCTGATCAAAGCCTGTGCCTGGGATGGAGTGCCTGGACTCAGTGCCCGCCGTCGGCCTTCCCTCCCCTGTGTGCTGACTGCCAACGTGCCCCCCACCACAGGCTGGGGTGCCAGAAGCCCACCTTCCAGAAGAAGCCCCATCTAGTCACCAACTGCTGAAAGCTAGGAGTGAGGAGGGACTGCACATAGTCAGAGGTGCCAAGACGGTACTCCTCGGCCCTGGAGGTGAATATTCTGATCTAGTTGGCAATATGGGATTTAGACCAAGGCCTCGTATCCAGCCCCTCAGGGTCTGGCCAATCTGTCTGCCCGGACACTTGACTGCTGCTTTCTCCCCTGTGGTTCCTACTCTGAAAACTGAGCCCAGCCCAGAACTCCAGCTGTCAAACTTCAGTTCTCTGATGCTTTTGCCCAGTTCTTGGTGGTAATTTTCCTTGGTGACAGTTACTGGTTCCAGTATCATACCAAGGACTCCATAATGACTTTCCTTATCTATACCTGGGGCATCTACTGGCTCCCAATAATTAGTCCTTCCAGAAACCCTGACATCACCCTCGTCTTACTCTGTTAAGGTGTGACACTCTCCTGTACTCTCTCAGGACACTCAGGCCTTTAACTCTTCTCTGTGAATAAGTGCTGGTCAAAGATGGGGGTCTTAGGTACTATTTACAGCTAACTTGCTCTAGCAAATAGGTCAGTCTCAGTGCTTTCAGTGACTCAGGTCAACAACGATAGGGACCTGGAACATGAAAGGATTTTTTGGGGGGGTGGTAATTACGTTTATTTATTTGTTTATTAATTATGGAGGTACTGGGGATTGAACCCAGGACCTTGTGCATGCTGGGCTACTAGAGCTATACCCTCCCTTGAAAGAATTTTATACTCAAGTTAATGGGGAGTTCAGATTCCTGGATAAGATGCACTTCAAAGAATGTTTATGCTCTCTGGGTATCACACTCAGGAAACTGAGTTAGGAAGAAACCCGCTTCCTTCCATTGCCTGGCTAAATAGATAGGGACACCGGAGGAAATGCTGATACAGATAATGTAGGCCTGGTGCGGAGAAGTAAGACTCCTGAGTGGAATGTGAAGCAAGACTTTTCCATTTTTTTCACCCCTCCCCCCTCCTTATCCTTTAGCAGTTTATTGTAGTGATTTGTTTAATTGCCAGCCTTGCGGGTGACAGTGGGACCCCTGGGAGGACTGGCAGGTCTCTTCTGCTCCCACTGTCCCCAGCGCTAGATATAAAGCCTGCACTCCATCGTTGCCAGCCACCGGAAGCAACGGGAGAGTGAACGTGTAAAGGAACAAAAGACCCGCACGTTAGCAAGTAACCGGTATTGAAGAAAAGATAGGTCCTGCCTCACTTCCCAAATACTAGATGCGATACCCTGAAGTCTGGTTAGAACCATCTATGCAATTACGAGCCAAGGTGACAACGATAAGCAACAGAACTTTGCTCTTCATAAGCCCACCGCACTTTTCAAATGACAACTGTAACATTTCCTGCTGAAGTTCTTAAAGCCCAGAAATAGTTATATTTGAGGCTTATGCCAACAGAATGGATGTATTTAAAACAATACAGGCTAAGAGCCATCTGAAGACTCCCCTTTCCCCCCCCTTACCCATCTCTACCGATGTAAAGGGAGACTAGACACCAGGGTGCGGAATTCTGCGACGGCATCAGTCCTGGCATTGCCTAGCTTTGGTACATTTGTACCTAACAGTTCTAATGTAACGGCAAGAATTTTCCCTCTCCTGTTTATTTCTCTGAAGCTGGAATAAGCAATCCTGTGTGACATTGCCTGTGGAGCGGTTGCCAGGCAGCAGAAAGAGATCTGCAGCAGCAGGAGGCGGGAGAGCCGGGGAAAGAGGGGAGAGCGGGAGGGTGGGGGGAGCGGGCTGAGCGAGGGGGGCTGGGCGCGGAATCTGCTGAGCCAGAATTCCACCTCCTTGCCATCCTTCTTGTTCCAGGCACATAATGAGCCAGTAAGCTAGACCTTAGAGGGGGAAATAAAGATGGAAAAGAAACAGTTGACTGTTGTCATTAAATAGGGTGTCAGAAATGTTTCTTATTTTGTGAAGAAACGGTTTCGGATTGGTTTTTTCCGCTGAACTTTGCTTCTTGGTAGATGCAGCTCTACAAATATCATAAAAAGGGCTGGCTTCTCAGTGGGCCTGCTTTGCTCTAAAGCAACAAACAATTAGCACATAATATCTTGCAGCACCTTTCATAGGGAATACACACACTATAATTTGAACGGTTTTGACCTCTCTCAGGGTGTGGAAAAGTAAAGCACACAGAAAGGTACTCGGCCCTTTATCGAATATGCAGTTTGGGGAGGCGTCCTTATGCCTGAGAACCAGAAGGTCATTCAAGGTATCTCAAGAAGCTGGCCTTCTCATTGTGAGCCCTTCTGTAGTTTGTGAAATTGGGAGCCACAGCTAAATCCCATCTCTTGGCTTTACAAGAATCTTGCTCTAATGAGTTTAAAATGATTGGACTGGGATCTGAGCAGAAGGGGTGGGGGCAGATGGCATGCAGGTCCCTGCACGCTGGCCTGGATGTCCCCCAGCACGATGCATCTTGCCTTTTGCCAGCCTTCCAAGCTGTCTAACAACTAGCTGGATACTCTCCAGTGGTAACAGACAATGATTTTTATTTAGATGTTTGATTATTCTTGTTAATCAAATAGAACCAGAACAGAAGGTTTGTTCAAAACAAACAATGTATTTACAGATAGCTTTGTTTGGTGGATGCACATTTTACGCCTCTGAAGTTGCTAGTCATTCTTCTCAAAGGATGCAAACCCACCATCTGGGAGGAAAAAAATGAGACAAAATGTGTAAAATGGCAAGATGATCGGAATGAATTTGGATTAATGAAATGGTGACCAAACTTCTTTTTCCCTTTAGCCATGGGAGCTGGGGGTGGGAGGGGAATGTAAATGAGCTGAGCATCTCTGAAGATGGTGAGGGGTGGTAGCTGGGATCCCTCTCCCACCCACCACTGCATATTCAGGCTTCTTCTCTGTTCAGGAGCCTGACTTTTTAGTCCCAAAGTTCATGAATGAATCTATCAAGGATAATCGGTGATTTTTTTGAATGTTCTAGGAAGAAGATAATGTGTCAGAAGAAAAGTACTCTTTAGCATAAACCACAGCAGGAGATAAGAAGGAAATACAGAGATGGGACTCATCAGAGAGATGACATGACAGAACAACAAACCGAATCCACTGAGAACCAGGGCTGGATGCAGGGACCGGCTCACTCTACTGTCTCTCAGAAAGCCAACAGTTTTTCCTAAGGAACTGCAAAATATTTACAGACACTTGACAGTTCTCTAGGTGGCACAGTTGGAGGACGCGCACTCCAGCTTTCAGGAATGTCCTGTGAGGGAGGTTTTATCTGCGTTGCCCAGCAGGAGACACTAATCAGGGAAGCTGCTGGTTCGCCCGACCACACTGGTTAACGACGGTCTCCACTGAGCCTCCTTGGAAACAGGAGAGGAAATATCACACTATTTCATGTGAAATCGCACTTTTAATCAAAGCAAAAGGGGAAAATACTCTATAGTCTGTCTCACAGTTGTGCCACAATGGGAATTTCTACCAAAGTCTATGATCATTCTTCATTTTTCACTCTTTATAGATTTTCTCTCTTAAAATTCAGGTTTTATTATATCAGTTATACATGAGTTGCAAAATGTTAATGGGACTTCTAGTCTCATTTGAGATCCCAAAATTAACAACAGTGGATGATAAAACCTCCACCTTCTAGTGAGAGGAGGTAGGCCACATATGCAGGACCTGCTAATAGGTGGTCAAACCCAATATTGTGACTTTTACACCATCATCTACCTCCAGCCCAGATACAAGAGACTGATCAGATGGCAAGAGTCCATTTTTGTAATAGAGTTGACTGTCGAATGAGAATGTACTAGCATTGTTCCTTCATTTCCTCATTCTTCTCCATCTCAAACCAGGTAGGAGTGTCCCATGAGACTTATGTCACCATAGGAATGGAACATGATGAGAGAATTCTTGGGGAGAACTGACCTGTGTTCCCTAGAGTTGGGGAAGCCCTGAGTTTGGAGAGCAGCAGCATGTGGCATTGTATTTGTCCACAGCAAAACAAAGGCATCATCCTGGACCATGAGGGAAGTAACACAGAGGATGGAGAAGATAAACTACTAACTTTCCATTACTAAGAGAATGGATCTGCCCCAATTAAAATTCAAAGTGAAATATAGTTGATGGATTTAATTCAGTTGGAACAGATTAGACAGATTCCATTTCCTACATGCCAATAATGCTTAGGGAAGGACTAAGGAATGGAAGAGGAGATCAAACACACAGCCTCCTAATAAACACACCTGTGCACAGCACGTATATGTACACATAATAGCCAGCACGTCTTTCCTCATGAGGTTTAGATTGTCAGAGGGGGTTAACACAATTTACAATGGGATCGTGTCTTTTTATTTGCAGTGCAAATAGGAAAGGACTTTTCATCCAAAACCGTTCCAATGCCGAACGAGAACAAAATTTTCAAAGTAAGAAGGATAAAGAGAATGGAATCTGCATCTCCCTTTGAAGAGTCCAGTCCTAACTGCCAAGAATAACAGAACAAATAGATTCCTGGGAGAGGATAAGCACCTCTTCAATCCTGGGAGCTTTGTCATTTTTCAAAACTAGCACATTGTTCATAGTTTGCCACAGTGATCTTCAAGTGGATAAATGGATGTGGTCAGAAGGAAGTTAATTCCCATCTAGTCCCTTTTTAAGGATAACAGATATCCTCAAAGAGAAGTGGCAAAAGACAATGGTAGATGGAGATAATAAAAGCACAGTCTGAAAATGAATGGATTCAGAAACCAATTAAAATAAAGCAAGGCTTTAAAAGATTTCTTAAATTAGTCACGTGTCACAGTACTGGAAAAGCAATGGTTTCTCTCAGCCATTCCTTCTCAAATGTTTTGTTTTTGTTTCCAGAAATAACAGGTTTAATTAAATGTGCAAGATACACTCAAGTGATCCAGACTAATGCACACAGGGATTTCGAAGTCACTTAGAAGATTTTAGGAAGGATTTTGATTTGCCAGGCTCAGATACTAATGGAGAAAGCTGGTCTTTGGGGAAAGAGAATGAGCTCTGTGTATGGGTCTGCTACTGCTGTCAAAGCCAGTTATTACATTATTGGGAAAGAATGGTTTTGAAAGTAGCAAACATTAAGCAAACTGGAAGGGAAATTAGCTTTATTAAACTCATTGTATGTGCCAGGGTACTCTAACATGCATTATTTCAATTAAATCTTAAAACAGCCCAGAGGAAATGGATATTATTGCCCCATTTTTAAGCTTCATAAGCCAAGACTGTGAGAAAGCCAAGAATAGTAGGACATCCAAACCCAGGGTATCTGATGGCAAATTATCAGAAGCGCCCTTTCCATTACATTGGCTTCTCCTCTGTGCTCAGAAAGGTGCATGATCAGCAAATGCTGCCCCCAATCAGGACATCAAGGTTTCTGGTGATGTACAAAAATATTCTACTCTTTTAATCCAGAACAATAATATCCTTGAACAGCCCAGTTAAAACACATTATCTGTTAAGGATTATAAGGCAACATCAAGCATTCAACAGGATTCAACAGGAACGGTCACAAAATGTTGACAGCATGATTTACTGAACTTGAATACAAATGCTAGTTTTCAGAACACATAATATGACCTTGAGAATTATTTTTGTGTAAGAGGGAAAAGAGAGAAAGAGACTGAGAGAGAGTTGCAAATCAATCAAGCCCACTGCCACTATCTCAAAATGTTGCTATTAAATCTGTGATTATAAATTTGAAAGCAAACTAAATAAGAGTCTTAAGCGTTAAAAAGTATAAATGCTTTGTACATTTCACTATCAGTACTGTCTTTTTGTATGAACCATGAAGATAATGAATGCAGCTTAGCACATACTGTAGGTAGGTTGGACCAGCCTGTATTTTGCTAGTTGTATGTTGAATTTTGTTTGTATTTTGCTAGGTGTATTTTGCTAGACTAGCACACTGGCAAGTCTCTTGGGTGTTCAGTACTGGACTTTGAGTCAGGAGACTTGGTCTTCAATCCTGTCATCACCATTAATGTAAGATCTTTAAGTGAATTAGTCATTCTTGGCTCTAAGTTTCCCAGATGCTATATGAAAATGCACTCTAACATGTATTAGCATTTATGAGAGTCTAGGAAGTGCATTGACAATACGTGTTGTTAAGTGAATTTATGAAATAAGGAGTTGGGTTAGGTTTTTTTCCTAAGGACTCATAATGTTCTAACTTTTTATTAACTGAGGTTTATTGAACATGTTCAAGTATTAGACTCTTCTAGGAGACATTATTCAAAATTAAATACATGGGTAAGTGAGCTTTCCTCAGAGTTCTCTGCCAAGGACACACAGCATGTTAAACTTTTTCAGCTAAACAAATGTGACTGGAAGCAGAATATGAAATGTGAAGAGAAAAGAGTATAGATTTGCAAATAAGCTAAAGCATCTACATAATTAATAACATGTTATGTAATAGAAAGGGTGCTGGCCCGGGGTCAGCAGATAAATGGGATTTATTACCGGCTCTAGCAATAAATAGCTCCATGCCTTTGGCTGTCATTTATTCTCTCTGGTTCTTGGTTTCCTTAGTTGTAAAATTAACTGCAGCATTGTACTGTAGAAGTAAAATGAGGGATGGGACACAATGTCAAACAGCCGAGAAAAAGCAGGCATTTGAGGAAAGTTCACAATGTAAAGAAAAAAAAAAAGCACCATATTCAACCATACAGAAAGATCAACACCCATATAATCACATTAATGTAGCAAAGAGAAGGAAAATTTCCTATAAATTTATGTTTATTCATAAAATAAAGATTAAATACTGTGAAAAAAATCAGGGTTCTTTGAAATTACTCAAAATATTCTTCTTAGTCTAAGTGTACTTATACAAACTACAAGGATTCAGAATAACTACATTTAGCAAGAAATTGGGTAAAAATAAAACAGGATGAGATGGCAGATATAAATTTAAATATTCAACAACTATAGAAAGGTATAGGTCTGAATATATTGATATTGAAAGATGATTTTTAGAATAATACATAGTCAGATACAGATGTATATACATATACATATACATATACATATACATATACATATACATATACATATTTGGAAATGTATTGATACAATTCTGCAAACTGGTCCCCACTGGGAGAGCTATTAGGATTGGATATTTGAGTGAGGGAAGTGGTGCTAAAGGGATTTCTACATTTAATATAAAAATGCTGTTTATTCTGTGAATTGTACCTGGTGAGAACATATGTGTGTGTTACGTTGTATTATTAAAAAAATAATTTTAGACACACAAAGAAAGAAAAAGAACATGGGTTATGGGTGAGGTAGCACTGGGATTTATCCTAACCCTAGTCCTTATTAGCTCTGTATGTTTGAATAAGTTAATTAACTTTTCTCACTTAAGTTTTCTTATCTATAATACAGAGAGAAAAATAGCTACCTTACAGTGTTGTTATAAGGATTAAAGATAATACATGTAAAGCACCTGGAACATATTCAAAATTGAATAAATTGTAATCATTATATGAAGACAGATGAGATAATCCTAGTTTTATTTTATGAATCAATGAAATGGATTCTTATTAAAATCCTTTATTGCCTAATACAAACTCTTCTTCTTCCCATCTCCCCAGTTAAAAAAGAAATCAGAACTGGAAAGAAGAGGACTAGAAGAGGAAAGACCGAGTAGATGTTCCATTCTTCCTGCAGCTACCAAGCCTCCTCTGGCAGCCCCGTCTATGTGCTGCGTGTCATAGAGGAAATGCACAAGTTTAAGGGGCTTTGCTCTTGAGAAATGAGTAGCCTCGTAGGGCAGCAGGTGGAAGAAGTCCTGAAAACGTGTGTAGACCAGAGAGCCTAGGAAGCTGCTTAGAGGCAGATTTCGGCATCTTGTTATACAATTCTATTCCTCCGCCTCATGGCTTTTTCTTTCTCTTTCCCCCACCCCATTTTGGTGATGAACTCGGTGGGAAAGGAGAGAGGCTGTAATTTGAGGCAGCTGGTCATCCTACCAGCAAGTCTCAGCTAAACCATTAAGATCAAATCATACAAAATCTCTTTCAATCTCTGAGGCAGTCCCGGCAAGAAAAGCAGATACAGCACAACTGACAGCAAAGTGAAGAGTCGGGAGGTATCCCACCTCCTGTAAATTATTGTAATGATGGCTCAGAAGAAAGATTGGAACTTTAGTGGAGGGAAGAAGTAAAAATGGTTGAAATGTCAAGGCCTGTTGTCAAGGGGACAGACAAATACCTCTTTTGTTGTGAGTTTTTAAAAGCCAACAGGTGAAAATGGCTCAGAAGCCCTTTATTTGAAGAAAGGAGAGGATCCAGGCATATGTAATGGTGAGTGCCCTTGCTACACTCTGCACCTCCCTGTTTAGGATTAGAGTCACAGATGCACTTTTTAGTCAAATTTCTTATTTGATGCCTATTTACTCAGGGTTACCCCTAGTACCCCTACTAAGTGAAGAAAAATGCATTTCTGGGTGGGGAGCAGGCTGTACAAGCAGAATATGGCCTGGCTTTCAGTCTCACTTGTCCCACTTAGTCTGCCATTTTTGTGACGTGAACAACCTGTACCGCTGGGTACAACCACCCTACCCTCATGTACTCAAAATGCCAGTCATTTTGGAACTGGAACACATGCTGTGTTTTCCCATCTTATTTTTTGTTCATGCCATTTCCTTCTTCTGAACTCAAAACTGGCCATTTTCTTAAGGCCTACTAATGGATAGAACTATGTTTAATGTTTTAAAATTAACTCTCCAAACAATCCTAACCTAATAGAGTTAGGTGCTATTATCATCACTCCTTCCAGATGAGAGGAAAAAAAAAAAAACCAAAGAATTAAGGTTTGAGAATCTCTAAAGTTACTTAAATTACTTACCCAAGGTCACACAACTAGTTAGTAATGGAGTCAAGATTTGAACCCAGGTTTATATGGCTCATAAACCAAATTTTTAACACTAAATCTTAATCCCTTTCTAATGACAAGGTGTGATTAACATTCAAGGCACTTAAAGTAAAAATCATTAAAACTTCAGCTACGTATTTGATTTGAGTAAGAAGAAAACGCTCTCTAAATATTAAGAAATCATTTGCATTGTTCAAATAAAAGTAATCGTTAACACATACACATTTTATAAATATTAAAAGGAATTCCTACAGCCTACCTCAGTGATGGAAAGTAATTATAATTTGCACCCATCTTTAATTCGGAATTCATATAATTCTCTTTGCCATCATCTGAGACACTCGGTTGAACTCACTTCCAGTCTCTGAGTTAAGCACATCGTTCTGTCAACACAGCCCTCGTGTTCAGATAGGAATAAACCCTCCGTGTGAGCCTCTTCTTAACTCTAAGTCCAGGAAGGACATGTCTGTACAATGAGCTGCTTGGGTTGGAGAAAAATCTCCTCGACACCGTACTCTTCATCAAAAGTCACTCTGATGCCCAATTATTAAATACACTTTTGGGATATGAAGAGCCGTGGAGAGAAAAAAAAGCCTAATTTCCAGCTTGAGATCAAAGAAACTCACTCAGCCAGAAAACAGTCAGATTGCTAGGATGATGCTTTAAAGCAATTCTCCATCTGGTCTGCTTTGGAAAGATTAGCAAATTAATCACATGGAAGTATGAAGGAACAGAAAGTATAAAGCGATCCACAACAAAAACAAACAAAAAGACACTTTCAAACACAAAATAAAAAGTCAAAAGAATCAAGGTAATTGTAGGCAAAACTCTACCCTAAAATATCTTTTTTATATGAAATGAAAAATTTTAGAAAATAGAGGTTATCTTGTGGCAATAAAAAAAAATGCAATGAGAATTGTGGCAAAGGCTAGGCTAGCACTGGTTGCCAGGTATTTTCAGCTCTCCACTTTCTGTGTACTCTATAGGACTGCGTTTCCACTCTT